GCTTCCCATGTGGGTGCTCTTTATTGTTTGCATTACCTTGTTTTCAAATGTTGATTTCCGTTACATTTGTTCTGTTCTACTAAGATCATTTATTGAGTAATGGCTCAATCTTCTAAGCCTGAATTTTAGCCAAATTTCATCTACGCTTAAAATCATTCAATACCTCTAAATCCTTTAAAGAGAAGAAAATTGCCGCATTTACCAAAGAAACAACGAGAATCTATGAACAAGAAGCATTAATTACTATCCGAAAGTCCATAACATTAACAAGCAATGCAATATTTCAGAATAAGAGTGAACTGGCCCACTTCAAACGAGTCAAACTTATTAACCAATACAAGTTATTGTATACATCAATACATGGGGTAGAAATCTGTACAGAATACTGCACGCATATATTACAAATCACCACCTTGTTTCTTTCAGCTCATATATCGTAATCATAATTGCATGCAACAATTCCATTATTTGGAACTATTATCAAGTCAAAGAAAAAAGTTGAGATGCAAATTGTTAAAATTCTAATGCTGGAAATATACATCTCTTCATTCATTATTCTCCTCTTTAACTGAGGTATATATACAAGTATCAATAACAGTACTAACTTAAAAATAGATAACAAATTCTATAAATCTAAACAACTAAACAAATCAATCCTATCCAATTTACAACAATATTTCAACAAACTAAATTCTATCAACAAATTAAATCCTATCTTCAACATTCCCCCTCAAGTTGGTGCATGAATATCTATCATGTCCAACTTGTTAATGGCTTCTTCAAAAGCTTTTCCAGAAACAGCTATAGTCAATACATCAGCAAGTTGTTCTTGAGACCGTACATGAGGAATCTCAATTATATGATTTTCGAGCTTCTCTTTTATAAAATGTCTATCTATTTCAACATGCTTAGTCCTGTCATGCTGAACCGGATTGTGTTCTATCTCTATCGCAGCTTTGTTATCACAGAAAAGATTCATTGGCTGACTATATATAATTCCCAATTCAGCTAATATATTTTTAATCCATAACAGTTCACAGACACCATAAGCCATACCTCTGAATTCAGCTTCAGCACTTGACCTAGCCACTACCTTTTGTTTCTTGCTCCTCCATGTGACTAAATTTCCTTCTACAAAGGTGAAGTACCCAGAAGTTGATTGCCTTGTAGTCTTATCACCAGCCCAATCTGAGTCTGTATAACCTTCAATGCATGGTCTATCATTTTTTGAAAAAAGCAGCCATTTTCCAGGAGTTCCTTTGAGATATCTAAGAATTCGATACACGGCTTTCATATGTTCCTCACTAGGGGAATGCATAAATCTGCTTACAATGCTTACAGAATATGCAATATCAGGTCTAGTGTGTGACAAATATATTATTTACCTACCAACCTTTGATATCTGCCTTTATCTGCGTTATTCTGATTCGGATAGACACCAAGTGAGTAATTCATCTCCATTGGAGTTTCTGCTGGCTTGCTACCCAATAATCCAGTTTCAGAGAGAAGATCCAAAATATATTTTCTTTGAGATAAGAAAATTCCTTGTTTAGACCTTGAAATTTCTATTCCAAGAAAGTATTTCAGTGGACCAAGATTCTTCATCTCAAATTCAGCAGCCAACTTCTTTTCCAGAGACTTCATTTCTTCTAGATCATCCCCAGTCAACACCATATCATCTACATAAACAATAAGTATTGCCACCTTTCCTTTGTTATGCTTAATAAATAGAGTATGATCTGAGTTGCTTTGTTGATACCCAAACTTTTTCATTGCTAAAGAGAGCCTACCAAACCATGCTCTTGGTGATTGTTTAAGACCATATAGTGCCTTTTCCAGTTTACAAACCATATTCTGTTTTGAATGTGTTGTCTTCACTCCTGGAGGTACTTCCATGTAAACTTCCTCTTCTAGATCACCATTCAAGAAGGCGTTCTTCACATCAAATTGTTTTAAGGGCCAATCTCGGTTTGCTGCTATAGAGATTAGTATTCTGATGGTATTTAGCTTTGCCACCGGAGCAAATGTCTCTTGATAATCGATGCCATATCTTTGTGTAAATCCCTTTGCTACAAGTCTTTCCTTGTACCTGTCAATGCTTCCATATGCCCTTAGTTTCACAGTATAAACCCATTTGCAACCAATTGTCTTCTTCCCTTTCAGTAGAGATGTCAGACTCCAAGTGTTATTTTTCTGAAGTGCTTCCATTTTAATGTTCATAGCTTGCTTCCATTTAGGATCTTCCAATACTTCCTGCACACTATTAGGAATTTGTACAGTAGAGAATTGATCAATTGTTAAAGCATATGATTCAGATAACCTATGGGATGACACATAATTGCTAATGGGATATTTCCCTTTCACGTTCAGATTCGGTTCATAAGTGGTCTTTGGAATGCCTTTGTTTGCCCTCTCTGATCGTCTAATATGTGTAATATCCGAAGGTAAAGGATCTATATTCTGGACAGAAATGACTTCAATAGCAGGTGGGATTGGATGATCTGTATTTTGGGCAGAAGTGGTTTCAGTGGCAGGAGATTCAGAATGTGTTTCAGATGTTTCCAAGGAAGGGGTCTCAGGTATGTGGGATATATTTGGTGTCTCATGTAAAGGAGGATTAGTATCTGTAGAAGAAGGGATAGGAATAGAAGTAGAAAACCAGAATTCTTCGTCTCGAGTATTAGTTATCTCCCCCTGAGAAGAAGAAGAGGAAACTCCCCCTGAATAGTAACCTTCAGATTCATGAAAAGAGACTTCAAGTGTGACATACATCTTGTGGGTTTTAGGATCAAAACAGTGGTAGCCCTTTTGGGAGTCAGAGTAGCCCAAAAATATACATTTCTTAGCACAAGGATCAAGTTTGGTGCGTAAAACTTTTGGAATATGGACAAATGCAGTGCAACCAAAAACTTTAGGTTCCAGATTCATAACATGAGGAATTGAAAAAAAAGGTTTCAAGTTTCTGTTGAGGAGTTAGGAACTTCAAAGAACTAGATGGGGTCCGATTGAGAACATAAGCTGCAGAAAGAACAGCTTCTCCCCAATAGTGAGAGGGTACATTCATGTCAAATAAAAAAGCTCGAGTGACTTCTAATAATTGCCTGTTTTTTCTCTCAGCCAAACCATTTGCTGAGGTGTATATGCACAAGAGGTTTGATGTTTGATCCCTTTAGAGTTTAAAAAAAATCAGAAAATACTTTATTTTTATATTCAAGTCCATTGTCAGATTGCAAAATTTGGATAGAAGTTTTAAATTGAGTGGCAATCATATTATGAAAATTTTGAAATACAGAAAACACCTCATTTTTGTTTTTCAGTAAAGAGATCCACATCATTCTAGTGCATTCATCAATAAAAGAAACATAATAAAAGGAATTCGAAAAAGAAGACACACGAGCTGGTCCCCATACATCAGAATGAATAACTTGAAAGAGAATTTCACTTTTATTTGAACTAGGATAAAAAGGCATACGATGGCTTTTAGCCATTTCACAAGTAGAACAATGAAATTCAGAAGGATTACAATTCGAAAATAAATGAGGAAATAATTTATTCAGATACGGAAAAGAAGGGTGCCCTAATCTCCTATGCCAAAGCCATAGTGTAGGATATTTATTTTCAGAATTATGAACAACAGCTGCCCTATACTTTATGTCTGATGCACTATGAGGGGCTTCAAAAAAATAGAGGTTTTTCTTTCTAACACCATAGCCTAGAATCATTTTTGTTTGGAGGTTCTGAAACACACAAAACGTTGGATAAAACAATACTTCACAATGAAGTTCTGAAGTCAATTTGCTGACAGACAGTAGATTATACTCAAGGGAGGGGACAACAAGTACAGAATGCAGGGTAATAGTAGGTGATAAAACAAAAGTTCCTTGACCCGTAATTGAAGCAACACTACCATTTGCAGTAGTAACAGAAGATTTATCACAAGGCAAAAAATCAGTCAAAACAGAGGCATCATGAATCATATGATTTGATGCACCAGTATCAATTATCCAAGACAAATTTCTAGAGTGAGTAGAGAGAGCAAGAGAATTACCTAAGACTTTTTCATAGATAGCATTTGTCTGAGGAGAGGAAAAAGAGTCACCATCGGAAGAGAGGAGAGCTGTAGAAACAGCCTTGCGACGAGGACGTTTGGTGAAATCCCACCAATCGGGATACCCAATTAATTCATAACACCGGTTCTTTGAATGACCCGAATCCCCACAGCGAGTACATTGGAAGGTTTTTCCTGAGGGTGCCTCCTTGCGCGGTTCTTTGAAATTCCTCCATGATGCTCGGTGAGCACCGATCACATTCTCATAACCAACGGAAAGCAAATTTCGCTCTCCAATGGTCAGTTCAACATCTAGATTTGCAACTTTCTTCATTGCATCCACCATCTCTTCATATCGCTCGGCCTGCTTGGCGACGTAGACGAAGTTCTCACGCTCCTTAGAGGAACCCATAGCCGATTAGATCTCCTCGAGATTAGGGTGTGTGTTATTTGAGAAAGAAAAAAAGAAAAGAAAACGGAAGCAAATACGGATACGGGTTAATAAATTCAAAGAAGATAAAAGAAAAAAAAACTGATAGGGGTAGATAACAAATTCACGCAGGAGATGAGCAAAATTTGTGTGGTTGGAAAGGACAAAAAGACACGGTTATAAGCTCAACTAGTCCTTTTCGTCCTCAAGTACGGTTCAGAAAAAAAATATAATTCACTAACATAGATAAGGATTATGACTTCCGAGGATTAGAAAAGAATTCATCTGATACCATGTTAACATTCTAATCCTGGAAATATACATCTCTTCATTCATTATTCTCCTCTTTAACTGAGGTATTTATACAAGTATCAATAATAGTACTAACTTAAAAATAGATAACAAATTCTATAAATCTAAACAACTAAACAAATCAATCCTATCCAATTTACAACAATATTTCAACAAACTAAATTCTATCAACAAATTAAATCCTATCTTCAACACAAATAATTTTCGGAATGAGTTTCCCCAGTGCCGCATACAGAAAGTTATTATCTGAATTTTTAACAAAACACTATCTTAGTGTATTGAACCAAAAATACAAGTTCAATAAAATATCAATAACCAAGATTACTACTCCTCATGCAGTTTTCTTCTCATGGTGTTTATAAAGTTTTCTACGCCGCTGCTTGAACAAATGCAGGTAAAGTTTGGACCAGAGGAATGGATAAACTACAAGTACAACCTGATTGAGAGAAATGGAGCATAAATTAAACAAGTAAATAATTCCCAGATGCAGATAAGTGATAGGAACCTGGCCACCTGTATAAACTAATCACAGAAACAACACCAGCAGAATAGAGAAAAATAACAAGAACTTATCTGTAACAGTACGAATTACAAGAACTGGAAGTGAATTGCAGAAAATAAAACAAGAAGAACGATAGTAGGACAACCCCTTTCTCCCCCCTCAGCCCTTGCTGAACATAATTCACCCAAATCTTGCCTAACTTCTCCCCAAAAGCGACTCCTAATTATATACACCAACTTTACACAGAATTTTCCTCCCAAAAGCTCCTTTCACACCAACTGTCTCACCTTCCACTTACGCCACAACCTCTCCCACTAAAGTTCCTCTATTGCTTATCTTATTTTTCTTAATATACACCCTTTTAACAACATTTGTATCAATAAGTTACAAATAGAAAAAACTGAACAAAAAGGCATTTATATACACTACAAACCAGTTTCCATGTGCTATACGAATCAGTTCCCAACCCTGAATATTGAGACAACTATTTCTAAGCATTTTTTGTCCTCATTTCTATTTTTTTCTTTTTCTTTTTCTTCTTGTAGAGAGTCTGATATTCAAAGACCCAATGTATAGAACCAAGAAAACCCATAAATAACTGATGCCAACTACCAGCTCCATTCAGTTCATAGGTTATAGGCTGCTTATAAAAACTCACCTTGAGGAAATCATAATAACTAAATTGAAGGCCTGAAAAGTAATGTGCGTAGAGATTCTTCTTCTTTATAATTGGAAGCACCTGGTACATAACCCACACTGCATTATATTGACTGGTCAGTTACACTAGTTTATAACAACAGTGATGACATTTGGTTAAGAAAGGAACGGGTGAATAGTCAATCGTAACAGTAATATCAATTTCAAATTCATACAGAAACAAAATTCAGAGATAGGAGGGAGATATAGATATATGAACTCACTTTCACCAGGACCCATTCCCAAAGGATACAGCACAATAAATGCAGTGTACCTAATTAAAAGATAAAGCATCAAGCATATACTTGAAAAGACCATTTTATGAATATAATAGAACTTATTAACCTCATATTCCTAAGAATTATTTAATTAAACTCAGTATTTATGAAGTCTATACAATGTTGTAAGTCTGAGGGTTAGTATTAAGCTCAAATTATAGGTGAACTTTGGAAGACAATTTTGGAATGGTGGGTGTACCGTTGGAATCTATAAGCCCACTATGTACCCTTTGAGGATAATGTTACTGTATGGATGATACCCCTAGCTGAGGTAATGACCAGGCTAGAGGGTATTTCTCCAAGTATAAGCAAGCAAATATCAAAGGTGGATAACAAGTATATGGCTTAAGATAAACGAGCATAATAACAGTACATAAAAGATAAGATTATGTCGTGCCCATGAGGGCTATTTATAAGGAAAATGGTGTGGGTTGGTGAGGTGGGGGTCAACCCTCCTTGGGATGTGCTCCCTTGATGGCAGTGTTAGGCGCGGTTGGCGCTACCACAATGGCAGCGCTGCACCCACTGCATCAGGCGATGTCAGCACTGAGCAAAGGGGCAGATTCCTTTTGCGGTGCTTATGGCGACTGCCTTTTGTGGTTAATGTCCCAAGGTGGGACATTTTGGTGCATCTCTTGGACGTGCTGCAGTCTTGGAGGTCGTGAGGGTCCACGTCAGCCCTAAGGGCTGACGCGGAACAAGGCTGAGGATTGGGCCTGAGCAGCTGGGCCGCTCCAGTGCTTGGGCCATCCGGAACAGGAGCCCCCCAGCTTGACAGCAACCGTAGGATGGTGCCAAGTTAAAGGCTTTGGGTGTTACCTTTAAGGCGATCACCTTGATTGATGTTGGACGAGTGACAGTTTGTCTTCAGCTCTTCCAAGGGTATTTTAGGTTTTCATTCTTCTGGAATGACTGGCCTTCTAATTGGGCGTCCTCCAAGAGTGATTACTACAAAGCCTCTTATCGTCGTGGGTTTCTTCGGCGACCTCTGCTGGCGGGTTTGAAATGCTCATTATGATGTATGGGCTTGGCATGTTATGCTGGATTACTGATCGGTTGTTTCCTGGGCTTTTGGTGCTGGCCAATTTGGCGAGGATATCTGCCCGGGTATTCTCAGCTCGCCTTATATGCTCCACTTTAACGGCTTCAAAGCTTTCAATCAATTCTTTGACCTTCTCTATGTACCTGCACATCAGTGGTCCTTTGGTTTGGTATTCACCTGAGATTTGAAAGGTCACTAGCTGGGAGTCAGTGAAGACTTTGAGACGTCTGACGCCTATTTCTTTTGCTTGGAGCAGGCCAACTATCATGGCCTCATATTCTGCTTGGTTGTTTGTGGCGTTGAAGTCAAACGACAAAGAATGTTCGAGTGCTACACCATCTGGGTTTTCAATTATCATTCCTGCACCCGATCCTTTGGCGTTGGATGAGCCATCGACATATAGTTTCCAGACTCCGGCTGAAGGCGTTTCTGTTGCATGATTCTCAAGGGGGGCTTTGCGTCATTTCTGCGAGGAAATCTGTCAAGGCTTGAGCCTTAATGGCTGTCCTCGGTTCATAGGCGATTTGGTATTCTAACAGTTCTATCGCCTAGGACATCATTCTTCCAGCCAAGTCTGGCTTATGTAAAACTTGACGGATTGGCTGATTTGTTCTGACAGTGATTGGATGGCAACAGAAATATGGCCTTAATCGTCTTGCAGCAAATATGAGTGTCAATGCCACCTTTTCAACTTGTTGGTACCGAAGCTCAGCTCCTTGCAAAACTTTGCTAATAAAATAGACGGGCCTTTGTCCTTCTTTTGACTCTTTGACTAGAGCCGCGCTGATAGCTTCGGTTCCAACAGCGAGGTACAAATACAATATCTTGTCGTGGTCTGGTTTGGTGAGTACTGGTGGGCATGAGAGAGCCCTTTTGAATTCTTGAAAGGCGCTCTCACATTTTTCTGACCACTGAAAGGCGGTCCCCTTCTTAAGCAAGCTAAAAAGGGGGAGAGATTTGTGTGCCGAGTTTGCCAGAAAACGGGTGAGGGCTACTAACCTTCCAGTCAGTTGTTGAACCTCCTTGATGGTTCGTGGGCTTCGCATTTCAATGATCGCCTTACACTTGTCTGGGCTGACCTCTATGCCTCGCTCCGTAAGCATGAAGCCTGGGAATTTTCTCGCGGGAACCCCAAAAGCGCACTTGCTGTGGTTGAGGCGCATGTTAAACTTTCTCAGTCTTCCGAAGACGCCCTGGAGATCTGCTAAATGCTGGTCTGGCGTTTTGGATTTGACGATCATGTCATCAATGTAAACTTCGATGCAATTGCCGATCAGATCTCTGAACACCTCGTTCATCATCCTTTGATACGTGGCGCCCGTGTTTTTCAATCCAAAGGGCATCATTGTATAACAATAGTTGGCGTTCTGAGTAATGAACGCTGTTTTGTCTTGATCTTCCTCCAGCAACGGAATTTGATTATATCCTGAATATGCGTCCATAAAAGACAACATTTGGAAACCTGAGGCGTTGTCAACCAACTGGTCGATGCTCGGGAAAGGATAGGCGTCCTTGGGACAGACTTTGTTGAGGTCAGTGTAGTCAACGCACATTCGCCACGCACCATTTGGTTTCTTCACTAACACTGGATTGGACAACCACGTTGTGTATTTGATTTCCCTTATGAATCCGGCGTCATGGAGCCTCTTGATTTCTTCATCGATGACTTTCTGGCGGTCGAAGCTAAATTTCCTTTTCTTTTGCGAAACTGGTTTTGCTTTAGGATCCACCGACAAACGGTGGTAGCATATGTTTGGGTCAATACCTGGCATATCCGAAGGTTTCCAGGCGAACAAATCTTTATTTGCTTTTAACAGCTGGATCAACTTGTCTTTGACCTTCGGGTCGATGGTCGCCCCGACTGTTGTCGTCTGGTGATCTGCCTCACCCAACACCACATGTTCTAGCGCTCCGTCAGGTGTGGGTCTGGCGTGCTCCACTCTAGGATCGTCCCTGGAGTCAAAATCTACCAAGAAGCACTAGTTGTGTTCTTTCCCCCTTCTGCCGGGATTTCCTTCCGCTGGGGATATCTCCTTCTGCTGGGGTGTCACTTCTTCTTTGAAGGTAACCTTTGTCATTGGCCGCAAAGAAATGTTGTAACAACTTCGGGCAACAATTTGATCTCCTCGCACAGTGGCTATGTTATTATCTCTGGCTATGAACTTCTTTGCCAGGTGGGAGTGTGAGACGCTCGCCTTAAAGGCTGCAAACATCCTCCTGCCTAGGATGGCATTGTAAGCGGATGGTGTATCCAGCACTAGGAATTGGATGTCTGCAGAACGTGACGTTGGCGGCGTTCCAAGAGAGAGACACAAGTTTATCACCCCCAAAGGCTTGGTGGTGGTAGCATTGAAACTTGAAAGTTCACCTGCGACAGGAGTTAAATCGTTAATTGTGAAACCTAATGCTTCGAAACATGGCAAGAACAAAATATCGGCTGAGCTGCCGTGGTCAACAAATACACGGTTGACGCCATAATTGGCGATTATCGCTTGGATGACAAGTAGGTCGTCATGCCCGGGGAGAACGTCCCCCAACTCGCTACTATCCCAAACTATGTTTGGCCTGGGTGGTCCAGGGTGCCCTTTATCCTTGCTGATCACCTTTCCTGCAACCGCCAGGCATTTTTTTAGATGCTTCTTCCTGGCATTAGATGTTTCGCCCTCGCCGCTTAATCCTCCAGAGATCATATTAATTACTCAGTGCTTGATGGCTGCGGAGTCTTCTTCTTCTTCAACGCGCCTTCCTCCTCGGCTCGGGTTTGCCTGTGTTCTGGTTCTTTGAGGTGAGTCTTCTCTGTGGCCTCGTTCTTGGCGGGACCGAGTGTTGGACTGATTGGTTTTCCTTCTTTCTGGCGACTTGCTATGGTCACGGTATCGCCCGCCTGATCTGGAGGAGCGAGTATTATCTCCTCTGCGTTTTTGCGTACCGCCTTTGATGAGTTCGTCAATCTCATCCTTGAGGCGCCTGCATTCCTCTGTGTTGTGGCCACTACTGCAATGAAACTTGCAGTATGGCGCGACCTCTTTGCTTGGCTGCTGGGACCGTTGGCTGCTTTTGGGATCCTCTTTGTAGTCTGTTTGTAAGACACTGTGTGACCGTCGTTCGGATGTGTCTCGCCCCGAAGGGCGGGTGGAACGTAAGGATGCTTGGTATCCTTTCCTACCTTCATCAACGTGGTTCCTTCCTTGTTGGTCGCCTTTTCTTGACTGTGGGAGTCACTAGCTCGACTCCCTTTGTATTCTTCAATTCTTATAAATTCTTGCGCCTTTTTCTTGACTTCCTCTAAGTCAGTAATTTCATGTCGTGTGAGCTCGTAAGCGAACTCTCCTTGTCGCAAGCCTGATAAGAGTATATGTACCTGTACTTTGGGGTCTAGGCCTTGTACTTGTAAAGCCTCTTTATCAAAACGATCTAGAAAGAACCGGAGGGTCTCGCCAGAATGTTGTCAGACCTTTTCAAGGGCGTGCACAGATTTGGGCACGGGGCGACTAGTTGCAAAATGGGCTTGAAACTTGCTTGCTAAATCGTCCCATGACGCAATGCTGCCTGTTGACAGGGTGGTGTACCAAGTAAGGGCTCTCCCTCCCAACAATGTTGGGAAAGTTCTGCACATGAGTAGATCCGTTTCGCCGTGGAGTGTCATTGCTGCTTCGAATTTCTGGATCCACTCAAATGGATCGGTATCGCCAACATATGTGGTGATGTTAGAGGGACCCTTGAAACCGAGTGGTATAGGAGTTAGCCTCAGGCTATCGGTCAAAGGCTAGTTACGCCCTGACGTGTGAGCAGGCGTTATTCTGATATGTTGTTCTTGATGTGGACGAGGCATTTGTGGGGCTTCAACGGAGTATGAGAGGGCTGGAGCTTGGTGAAAGCTTGTTGAACGCCATATGGTTGTTGGTTAGGATTCGGACAAGATGCTTGAGGTTGTGGAATGGCTGCATTATGGGG